TATTTAAATATTTAGACGTTTAAATTATAATTTCTTATTAACTTTTGAATACATTTTGTGATTCTCCAAGTAAAAAGTGAGATGATTATATTAGAGTCATATACGCATTAAAATAACTATATAAACTATAAAATTATACTTAAAATTCGAATAATCGTTAACTTTTTATTAGCTACAAATGAACACAAGGTAAAACAAAAATAAACTAAAATTCAATTTTTTTCATTCATAGATTTACAATATTGAAATAATAAAATTAAGTTTTGGCAAAGTTGCCGAATTTTTTTATTATTACATATTCATTATTTATTTAATGGCTAGAAGGACAATTTGGGAAGAAAAAATGCCACATCATTCAAAGTCAAAGTTATACCTTTAAATTCATTAATGAGGGGGGTAAGTGTTACATTTGTAACTTTAAGGGGGTAAGTGTTACCACCCTTATAGTTTAAGGGTGCAAACTGTATTTAGCCCTTTACTTTATCCGTCTCAAATTATATTGGCATTAATGTATTATATTTTATTTGTGGAAAAATTTACAGTTTTCACCTCACACCTCCAGTCTGCACCGATTTCATATTTGGTCCCAAATTTACAAAAAGAGCACATTTGACCCCTCGTATTTTAATAATTTAACACTTTTGGTAATTTTCGTCAATTTACCGTTAGTTCGTTAGTTAAAGAAATCATCGTCACACGCTTAATTCCGTTAGTTACTAACGGAAAATTCAAAATTGACGGAAATGACTAAATAAGTTGAATTTTTTAAACATACAGGACCAAATGTGGAATCGGTTCAAACTCGAGGGATTCATTTGAGAGAAAATTTGTTACATATAATTTGAAACAACTAAAGAGAGATCAAAGAAAGGAAGAAAATGGTGATACTATTAAATCAATGTAAAAATAAATTAATTAATATTTATACAGAGTAATCCATATTACAAAATCTACTACATTCTTGGACTACAAATCACTGCTACTAGACAATTAAAACATGGAAAATTATCCTGTCTCAATTAAATTTAATTCTGCAACTTCAACGTTAATTGATTGCCGTCACCGGACAAGAGCCGGAGGAGTTCGCTGACAAGTTTCGTCTGCCGGCGGCACCTCCGGCTCCTCCTTCGTTATCGAGACTTTTCTTGTCTCCATATGGGGATGATGCACTTATTACCCTGTAATAAAATTTAATAATAAAAAAATGTATTCTTGAATTCAAATGAGAAATTTATATTGCAAGGAAATCGAAAACTTATGAACAAATGTACTAAAAAAATCGAACATTTCTACATTCGGAGGACCAAATTCGCATATATCTTTATGGAGGTGAAAATTTTGACATTGCGAAAAATTACCTTTCTTTGCGCTTCTCCAAAAACCGAGCGAGAGATTTTCTGCGAAACTGAGGCACAGTGTCTGCAAACAGTAAAAAAATAAATATAAGTAAAAAAAATTACACCGTAGCCGAAACGAAGAAGTAATACACTTATACTTGTGTGGCTATTATGTTTTGAGGGGAAAAAAAAGAAAAGAAAACGAAGTATAAAAAACTAACCTTGTGAAAGGAAGGTTCCGGAAACGGGTCCTAGTGAATTAGCTGCTTTCGAAGGACCAACAATGTTCGAAGAAAAAACGGGAACGCCAGCTGGCAAAGGCTTTGCAGCAGCAGAGTGAGAAACAGTGATAGAGGTTAAAGGAACAGGGCTGCAATGTTGTGGTGTTTTTCCGTATGTCTGATTTAAGACATGCCCGTCAAGAATCGAAGATCTCGTCACTTTTGTTTGAAGTGGAGTTGGCGAAGGTATTGCAGTAGGAGTTGTAGGAGTACCGTTTCCAGCCAATAACATAATAGCTTGAGCCTAAACGAATCAAAATGAAGTTTATTAAACACAAATAAGCAGAAATTCTTGACAGATCAAATGGTTTATTTATCTATATATACCTTTTCGGGAGAAATGTTATCGAACACACAAACGGAGCCGTTGAAAAATATGGTCAACTGGGTAGGAGCACCCGATATTTTGGAACTATTTCTGCAAAAAAGATCCGATTTTTATTCAGCTTTTATAGTTATACAAAATCAAGATTTGATTTTTTTCTTGAAGTGTTCGTGTTTTTTTTTCCGCAAATTGTTAAGTGTTGTATTATCTTACCTCAAATCAGTGGTTCCGACAACAGGGCTGGTTGAAGGTATAGCTGCAACGGGATTTTTCATCGGAGCTCTTACAGAACCAATCAAATTATTATGTCCAGAAGTAGAAACATACGAATGTGTCGGACTTTTTTGATTGGTCGTCATCGTGTAACCAATTCCACCTTGCTTCTGATGAACAACGTTTTTCTAAAAAACAAAAACGTATAGATTAATTAAAATTTTGCTTCGGTTCCGAAAAAAAAAAATTAAACAGTTAAACGAACCTGTGTCGTTGTGTAGGATTTGTGTTCGGACTCGAAAGATTCTCTAGTAGTTACGGTTACTAATCCAGTTGACGTAAGAGAATCGAACCCGGTTTTGAGCTTATTACTATTATCTTCTTGACCACCTTGAAACGATAAGAGCTGAGGTACGGCAGACGAACCCTTGTTCGAAAACGACCACTGCATTGCTAAACTTTTAACCGGAACTACGCGAATCAAAACGTACACCGATCAAAAAACGAAGAAAATTAAACGGATTCTTATTTGAGAAAAGGCTAATGACCTAATGATTAACAAACTAATCACTAAAAATTTGGTGAAGTGTAGTTTCAAGAAAGCTGAATAAATAAATGAAGATTACAACATGGCAAATTCTTTAATAGGATTTTGAATTAAAATAAAATAAATCAAAGGGGGGCAGCTGTAAATAAATAAAGAAGGGGGGTGATTGAACATGGTTGATCAACTTACAAATAAATAATAGTACAATGCTGAGCATCTGATGCATAATGTAATATAAATATATAATAAAAAACAATTATTGTAATAACCAAAGCAGAACCAATTAAACAATATTAAAATACCCAACTGGTCAAAACTGTTTAAAATATATATCAATAAATTATAATTATTTATCCATCTCTTCTAGTGACTTCTTGGATGCTACAATTTTTTTTATTATTTTAAAGATTAAAGATGCTTGCTTTAAGAAGTATATATATGCCGACGCAGTAGAATCACGCTAAATTACTAACATAGCTTAAATAATAATTTTTTCTGGTTTCGAGTTGGTAAAAATGTACTAAATTATTAATCCCTATATTAATAGAATTTTACTAGTCCGACTATTAATTTATAGAGATTTAACTATATATATAGAGAATAATAAAAGATCTGATGAGGTGCATGTTAGCATCACAAAGTTCAACTAACACAAGAAACATGAAAAAGAATACAAAATTGTAATAAAGAAATGGTTTGAAGACTTCAAAGATACACCAAACCCCATTTTTGCACAATTAACACTAAATTAAATATATATATATATATATATATATATATAAATAGTATATTATTATTTAATATTTATAGTACACATTTTAATTTGAAGGTTTCTAACAAAACGTGAGAGATCCACATCACACATCATTTACTCAAAAGAAACAATAAAACTAAAGTGTGGATAAACAATTGGGTAATTAGCACTTGCCCCCTTTTGGTTTAAACTTTGTGCATATAACCCTCTTGTACTTTTAATACAGTACATAACTCCATTGTACTTTTAAACTAATTATATCTTCGTAACGAGCATGATTATTTACCAAGCGGAATACTATAGAGGATTACGTTCCTATATTAAAAGTACAAGGGAGTAAAGTGCGCAAAATTCAAACTACAGGGGTTAATGTGTTTATATTGAAAACACAAGAGGATCATATGCACAAAGCTCAAACTACAGGGGTGCAAGTGCTATTTACACTAAACAATTTATAAGAGGAGAAGCATCATACCACATATGCATTTTTTGATTTATGCATAATAATAACTAAATGTAAATATTCAATCTTGTAGGCCCGGCCCGTATTTCTTTATTCGGGCCAACAAAGAACAGAATCTAAAAGCCCATTTTGCAAAAAAAAAAAAAAAAAAAAAAATATGCAGTAATTATATTAATTACCAGCATCAATGGTTTCATCAGATGTTTCCTGCTTCACAGCCAATCCCATGAAATCTCTCTCCATCTTCAAATAGTATAATTTCTTCAGAGGGGGGCGGGGGGCCAGAAATCCTAGAGAGAGAAAGTACAATGGAAGAGAGAGAGAGAGAGAAATGAAGAAGACTTTGAGTTGAGATAATGTAATAACACTGTTGCAATAAGCAGATTCATAATATATGATGATCATCGCCTTTATTCATTATTTATTTATTCATTATTATTGCTCAATATTTTAACACTTTTCTCGTGGGGGAAACTTTAACCGGCTACTCCCGGTCACCCGGATTGAGACTTTTCCCATGAATAGACTTTAGGTAAAAACGTTTCTCTTCTTTTTTTTTACCTTATGTACCATTTTGCAATTTCTTAAAAAATAGAAACACACTGAATAGCAAATTTTCAAATATGTTGTTGCTTCCCTAATAATTTGTATGATTTAATGATCAATTGCCAGTTGAAAATTGATAATTGATAATTGATAATAAAATTTATTTTAAATATGTTTGTATTAAAATATATAAAAAGTATTTACATTTAAATAATAACTAATATATATGTTTAAATAGCATATTTATAAATATATCCCTATAATTTTAATATTTATACATTTCACCCAAGCTTTCGTGTCTCTATTTTTTGGGATGTCGTTTCCCGTGTCCGTTTCCTCATTTTCCCCGTATTACCATTTTCGTGTCGGTACTACCTAGCATCTACAACACACAATTATGTGAGTCACATTACATAATTTTGTTTTTGAATTTATAAGAAATTGGAAATGGGGTTATATGACATAAACCCCTCACTCAATTTGCTAAGAGGGATAAGTCCAATTAATAATTCCATTTTTGAGATAACCCCCTCCCATAGCAAAATACTTATATTACCCTTGTAGTGTATTTTTTAATTTTAATGTTTAATTTATTTTCCCAAAATAACTCCCCTAAAAATCTGCCTAATCCCCAAAATCTCTCAAAAAATCTTATGCCATTTCAATTAAAAGAAATTACGTTTTTTTAATTCTGTTTTTTGTTGACTTTTTTTTTTTTTTTTTTTTTTTGCAGAAATTATTTTTTAAAATTTTGATTAAACTGTGTGTTTTTTATTTTTTTATTTTTTTATTTTTTTATTCTGAAGCGTTTTTTATAAGAAAATTATTAAATTTTGATTTTCTTTAAAAAAATATTTTCGTTTTAAAAATTGATTTTTAATTTTGATTTTTTTTTTTTAAATTCTCTTTTGACATTTTGATTTAAAAAACAAAGTTTTTAACAATTGAAATCCACTATAAACTTATCGAAAACCACTATGTAATTAACGAAAATCACTATGTAATTAATGTATTTATTCCATTACAAAAAAATCATTGTAAACTTATCGAAAACCACTATGTAATTAACGAAAACCGCTATGTAATTAATGTATTACATTACAAAAATTCATTATAAACTTATCGAAAACCACTATGTATTAACGTAGTTCGTTACGAAAATCCATTATAAGCTTAATATTCACTATTCGAAATCCACTATTCACTGTTTAACTCCGTGAATTTAAAATTCACTATTCGAAATCCACTATTCACTGTTTAACTGCCTGAATTTAAAATCCACTATTCGAAATCCACTATTCACTGTTTCACAACCCGAATTTAAAATCCACTATTCGAAATCCACTATTCACTGTTTGAAATCCACTATTCACTGCAACCCCTATCTCTCTAACGTAATCCACTATTTAATGTCGCTTGAGAATTCGAAAACCACTATTTACTATAAGCGCATCGATACCCCTTCTCTATTACTCGCGCCTGCATCAAGTATACTTTGTGTGAAATCCACTACAAGTTCATCAAAAACCACTACAAAAATATAGAAATCAACTACAAAAGATCCCCTTTACAAAGAGAAAATCCACTAAAAACTTGACTAAATCCACTACGAAAATCCCATTTAATAAAAAATGTCATTACAAACAATAGTAGAGTCACCCGAGCATCACCCAACCTCGTCCCACTTGTTGCCATCACTCCACTTGTGCAAGAACCTGAACCGAAAAAAAAGAAGACAACAACGTGTAAATTTAATTCATTCAAAACAAAAAATCAGGTTACAAAGCAAGAATTTTAAATCTACTACAATCTCATCCAAATCCATTACAAAAAAATATTAAAATCCACCAAATTATTAACATATTCCACTACAAAACAATTAGAAAAATATTAATGTAATGGCCCATTGCACTGATCTTTTACCAAAAGATCCAAAACCATCATTCAAATTCTCTATGCTCACATCTTTCTTTACCCCTGTCACACCATAATCTATTTCGCACACAAATTCTAATTACCATTCATCACCGTACCAAACAATAATTATATAAAAAAAAGTCATCTTGTCTTAACAAGAGAGGGGCCAAATATGTGTTTAATTGGTTCCTGCTACTACATCACCACCACCTTCCAGTAAAAAATCTGAATTGCTTTTATACAAAAACTCTTGATTTCATCTCCAAACTTCTTAAATTCTATATGGATCCTACAACTGTTGCGAATACAATTAAATGTTAACCTTGAAAGTTGATGATGCGCTCCCAGCAAAAAAACACTGTATTGAAATAGAGAATTCCAGGGGCTGGAAATTGCCCCAACTTCCGCCGCCGTGATGGAAGAAACATTGCATAGGAAAGAGACGGAAGAGGGAATCGAAGAGAGATTATGGGTAGTTATTGAGAGAGAGAAGGAGATTCATAGAGATAATTTGCGGTGCCGGTGTTGGAGGGAAAAGAGAGGGACGGCCGGTGGGAGATCTCGCCGAGGAGGAGGCTGGAGATGATGGGGCGACGAGGTGCGAGCGTGGGTTGTGCAGAGTTCAAAGAAGGGAGAGAGAAGAGAAACGAGAGACACGGCTATATGAGAAATGTCGTTAGGTTAAAGAAATTGAGAAAGGGTAAAATAGGTTATTAATAATATAATTTGCTTAATAAAATACAATTGGATTTATCTAAAAAAAGAGTAAAAAAAATGGATCTAGTCTAATGATAAAATGCATATGAGGGGGTTTTCTCAAATAATCCCATTGGAAATAGAGCAAAACACAGAAACCGGTCAAACCGGTAACTGTTAGGGAGTAAACACCACGTGAGCTAACAGATTTTTTACTCCGCGACTTTATTGACACGTGTAACACCACGTGATGATTCTCATGCCAATTCTTTTGCCCTTGCGATTCATCTGATTAACGCGTTGAATTGCTTTTCGCACCCCCACAATAATTTTAATTAATGATTTGCACCCTGAAATTTAAAATTGGCAAAAGTCATCCAATAAAAAATATCTCAAGACAAATCAAAGTGTACCGACATGTAGTTCTTGGTTGATTTCAACTAAAAAATCAATATATTATGATATTTTAACTTCTTAAGTTATTTTTATTTTTAAATCGTATATTTTATTTCTTATAAAAAAAATTAAATTATTTTTTTTAAAATAAAATTTAATCAAAATCAGAATTTTTCGTAATTTTATATATACTTTTGACTAACAAAAAAAAACACGAGTTATGTTTATATATATATATATATATACACACCTAAAAAATTAAAAAAATAATAAGAGTAAGAAAATTATGACAACTAAAAATAGAAAAAATCACTTAAAATGTTAAAATATCAAGATATATTGGTTGTTCTTATAAAGATACGCAAAAGGGAGCGTTTTGCAATGAGATATATCATTGAGGATGAACTTTGTCAATTCTAAACCTTTAGGGTGCAGATTGCAAAGTCAATATTAATTTTAGGGTGCAAAATACAATTTACCCAATTATCGGTCTCGATTAAATAAATGAGGAGCGATGGAGTCACATGTACGGGCAACAAGGAAATGCAAGATGCTATCCACGTGTCAAGTAGCTATTCGGCCTTCATGTATTTGCGCGTCAACAAACTTTTGTTTACCATTTGCTTCCACTAATTTCGCTTAAAAGGGAAGCAATTAGTACTTAAGTACTAACTAATTTCTTGCATTTAAAGATTAAATTTTTATCTAGGACATATATTTATTTTATTTTATTTTATTTTAAGAAATTAAGAAATTGATCAAAATTACAAATTAAGGCCACTCAATTTATTTGAAGTGGGGTGTTCCACTTTACAAATTACGCGCACCCTCTAAGATAATAATATAATATCATATTATGAAACAATCCCTTATGTTTGAGTAATTATTATTATTCCTCTCAATTATACATTCTCTTACACGTCAATTCTTACTTTGTTACTGACTGAATGAGGGGTTTTTCGTAATAAAATAAATAGTTAAGGGAATAGATGCAATTTCCCAAACATAAGAGGCTAGTCTGTAATTTGACATTATCTCAAGGGATGGCCGTAATTTGCCGTACATATTAAATCATGTGAAGTTGTGAACCATGATCTCAATACTTTAATTAAAAACATATAATTATTTAAAACAATCCACATTCAATGGTCCTTAATTAAAACGATATCGTCGGTCTAAATTAATTAAGAAAATAAATATATATTTTTATTAATTAAAAAAGGGTTTTATTTCCGTATATTCAACCCTCATATAAAAGGAATCATTTAAATAAAATTAGTGTTTAGGTCAACTTAAATATACTTTAAACAGCAACTACTAGCCAATACCACCTTCTCAACCCACAGAAATAAAAACTATTAAATATGAAAAGTAAAATTTTACAAAATGATTATTAGTTTATTGATTAAACATAATTAATGTTTTAATTAATCAAGGCTTGATTGTACAAATAATATTAATTAATTTTTAAACGTGTTAGGTTAGGTACCAAACTTTAGGTGGTCTAAAGAATTAGATGTGTGTGGATTTATATATTTTTGGTGTGTGCAATGTGTGTTTTCTTTTTTTTTTTTCTTTTTTTTTAAATGAAAGAACCTACTGTCAACCATATAGGTGCACTAGGTAAACCTACACTCCAGTTTGTAAACAATACGAGAGATTAAAGCACACTAGAATAACCATGTGTGACAAATTCGATCTAACGACAGTTGACAAAGGAATTCGAACCTAAGTCAACTAACATATGCTCAATTGTTCAACCACTAGAACATCCTAGCGGGACATGTGTGTGTGTTTTCATGCGTACCAATTGTGTATTTTCGTCGACAAATTTTATTTATAAATATAGTAAATAACTAAATATAATTATGTATAGAATTGTCATATGATGAAATCAATGATTAAATAGTACTCATAATAAATAAATATTAAGCTAAGGGACTTTCAATCAAACCAAAAAAATAGATATATGAAAAAAAAAATAACAATTAGATTTAGAGTTTTAAGAAAGGTTCTAAATATCGGTAATCGGGTCTGAGGCGGTTAGGGACCGCCACACGATAAATCGGTGCGGCGGTGATTACTCGGAGATATACCGGAAATAAATCGGTTTTTAGATTTAGTGTAATATATTTATAAATATTATTTGTTAATACTTAAAACGTATAAAAAAAATTGAACTTGATTTTGTTCTCATCGTTTATATAATTTAATCACATAACAAAAGTTTAACATTTAGAACTTGATTCTCTCCTCATCGTTCTAAATGTTTTTATTTTTAGGCCAGGTTCTTTTTACAGGGTCGGTGAGTTTGGGTTTGATTGAAAGAGATGATGGGTTGGAATTGAAAAAAGAATAAAAATAAAGATAAACACCCTATTTTCCTTGTAATAAAAAATAAATAAAAAAAATTAAAAAAAAATTATTTTTCCGATATATCGCTCGAAGTTTGACCCGATATATCGGCTTGACCCGCCACAGACCGCCACAAATCGCCTCACCGTCAAAAAACCGATTTTCAAAACCGCCACACAAATATCGCAAATGTTTATGTCCGCCACCGATATGGCGGCGGATATATCGGCCGCCAAAACCGATATTTAGAACACTGGTTTTAAGTATAAAATAATATTATAATAATAAAATGCAATCATCAAGAATCAATATTAAGAAATAAAAATAAATGAATGAATAAATAAATAAAATTTGTGGTATGTATGAATCATGTGGGAAATGAATTTTAAATTTAAACGGACAAATGCTCAAAAAGTCAGAAAGATAAGAGAGCATGTGATTGGAGGATCAAAAGTTAAAAAACTAATTTTGCAAAGATGGTCCCACGTATCCTTCATTATTATATTATTGACCCCAAAATAATGACATCACTTCCTGCGTCAGCGTTCTTCTTTTAATGCAGCCCTTTCTATATTTTAATTAATTTCATATTGTAGATTCCCTTTCATTCTATTTCTTTAAGGATTATAATAATTTGGTTTTTAAATAAATAATTTGTATAGTACTATTGAAAATATGAAACATTTTATAAATATGAATATGCATCAATTGATAGGGGGAGGGAAATACTAAAAATTTCCAAGAAAAGAATATTCTCTCTAAAAGGTCCTAAATTCATAATATTCATACTAAATTATATGATTAGTCAACTTCCAATTACAGTTTTTTTTCCTCAATAACTTAAATACCAATCTACTAGACAATATACAAAATTGTTATAAAATATTTTCCTCGCATAAAATATTTTATAGTCTTTCCGTAACTAGTCGCAGCCAATCATATAGGTGCACTGGGTAAACGTACATTATCATATAGTAGTTTGTAAACAATTCGAGAGACGTAAACCAAATCAGACTAATCATGTGTTACAAGCTCGACCTAGTGATCGTCGGTAAGATGATTCGAACTTGAGTCAATTGACACAAACTCACTTGGTCCAATCGCTAGACCATCCCTTATGGGACGAAAGTTGACTATTTAAATATAATTTTAGCATGAAAATTTTGATAGTAGGATTTTTTAGATAAAATAGTTTTATTTGGGGTTTTTTGGATATAAATGTTTCAAACTAGGACTTTGTTGGTATTTTTCCCAATTAATAGGAAAATATTATTTACAGAATTGAATATACATATATACATATTTAAAGTAAGCTAACTGAATTATTATAATTTTTTTTTTATATCGATTATATATTTATATCATACAAGTTGAGTGTAGTTGTTATTCTTTTTTCTTTTCTTTCTTGTCATGCAGTCCTTTTCTCGTGGTCCTGGATTTTAGAAAATATACTTTTATTCTTATATATATATATTATATATATATTAAATATACATTAAAAATATATATTAAATACAAACCATTTATTGGGAAAAAAATTGAGATAACAACGAAGAAAGTGTCCTTTACCCCACTAACAAAAGAATGGGTTTCGAGGAACACAATATCCAATATTATAATATTATTACTTTCAAATATTTAATTGAAGATCCATTTTACTTTATTTTATTGATTTGCATATGTGTTGGTTTGTGAACCAGTCCTTTTTTGACAACTCAACTAATCACTCTTTTATTTATTTATTAAAATAATAATAATGACAGCTGTTGAATTGAGATTTGATGAAAAAAGAATAAAATATGATGTCTCACTACTTGAGGCAACTAAGATATATCAGTGCATGTTCCACAACTTGTACTAATATATAAAATATTATTATTTTAATTTCTATAAAAATATTGATCAATACTTTTATAGAAATTATTATAGAAAGCAAGAAAAAGCAGAGCAGATGCGAAGCCCGATGGGCCTAATTCTAACCGGCAGTTTATTCAACTGAGGCCCGCTTGATAAGGCCCATACATTGAAACTAAGTGGGCCAATCAAAATTATTGTTTTGGCTGCCACTTTATCGTTTCATTTAATTTAGAGTAAATTACGGTCACCCCTGAGGTACGATCGAATTACGGAAACACCCCTCTCATATTTGAGCAATTACAACCAACCCTTCAACTAGTATCTAGTTCATGTTCTTTACTTTGTACTCGTTTTGTGTGTCAAAATACACTTCACGATGCACCACATTCTGGTATTTACAAACTAAAGACACATCTTATGATCCATCTAGTTTTAAGATGTGGAGCTCGAATAGAGTAAAACGGATTTCAAACTGAAGAATATTCCATATAATCTAAAAGATTCCAATAAATTTAACAGCACAACGATGGACGTGTAAGAAGATTCATAATTAGGGGGTGATTGTAATTAGCAAAACAAGAGAAGATTTTTCGTAAATTTGAACCTTACCTCAGAGGGGGCCGAGCGTAATTTACCCTTAATTTATTTTACAGATAATTGTTTTAAAAATAACAATAATTGTTATAGGTTGTAGTTAGAAAAAAGTAGCATTCATGGGAGTGAAAGCTCAATACATCTACTTTGAGAACCTACCCTTAAAAGTTGTGCACACTATTCATGCACGACTACATCTATGCATGCATGGTACAAAATCAATTTAATGATCATTAAATTGTATTACTTTATATATATATATATATATATATATATATATATATATATATATATATACAGTAGAACCTCGATAAATTAATAACCTCGCTTAAATAATAAATTTTTCCGGTCCCAACTCGGGGACAACGTGCTAAATTAATAATTCGCTAAATTTATAAGATAATACACATTCGAAAATTTTAAGAAGCCCCATATAATATATAAATTAATAATGCATAAAAATAATTTTTAAATTACATGGTATAATACATATTTTATAGATATATGAAGGCTTAACACAATATAATTTAATTGTCGCTTGTTTCTTGTTGAAGTTCACATTACCATCAATCTCATTCCTCACTTTTCTTAACATGGTTAGACTTTCGGTATAGTTTTCTCGTAACTCAACATAAATCGTTCTATAGCATTGCTGTTTTAAGAGCTTCCGTTCGTGAAACGAGCTCTATAGTGCATTGAAGTAATAATACAATGAATAATATATACGTAAAAAAATAAAATAAAAATGTATTTATTATAAATAATAATAAAAATAATTTCATAAATTAATAAATTATTAATTAATGTATAAATTAATAATTATTAATTTATCGATAAGTTAATATTTCGCTAAATTAATGAAATTTTGATGGTCCCAACTGTATTAATTTATAGAGGTTTAACTGTATATATATATATAGACACACACATATAAAACATTGTCGGAAATAACAGGTAGCTTGTCCCAAATAGATGGAGAAACAAAATGCAGTGTTAGTTCCTGAAATAACATTGAATTCTGGTCATAAAATGCCAGCAATAGGCTTAGGGACAGTGGCACATCCAATGCCGCCACCCGACCACCTCACATCCATCCTCGTCGATGCCATCGCCGCCGGCTACCACCACTTCGACACTGCCGCCGTGTACGGCTCGGAGGAGCCTGTCGGTAAAGCTGTGGCGGCAGCCGCCCACAGCGGTCTGATAAAGAATCGGGACGAGATTTTCGTCACGTCTAAGTTGTGTATAAGAGACACCGAACGCGATCTCGTTCTCCCCGCCCTTAAGAAAACGCTTCGGTAATTAACTAACTTAGCCTCACTATTTTTTAAAGCAATGGTTTCTCTAATTTAATTTAATTTGCAGGAAGTTGGGGTTGGATTATGTTGATCTGTACCTGGTACACTGGCCAATAAGGATAAAGCAGAGTGCTAATCCTTACAATGTGATTGGAGGAGAAGAAATGCTTCATTTTGATATGAAGCAAGTTTGGGAAGCCATGGAAGAGTGCTCTAAGCTAGGGTTGGCAAAATCCATTGGTGTTAGCAACTTCAGCTCTTCTAAACTCTCTAAACTCTTGGAATTTGCCATTATCCCACCAGCAGTTAACCAGGTCTATATATATACATATATTGATAATTACAAATATACCCCTAAAACTAACAGCCCGTTATAAATCCTGACAGAATGAATGAATTGTCTATACTCCTGGTTTTATTAAACAAACAAACTATCTGTAAATCACGGGTGCCCCTGAGGTAAGACAAAATATTAGATCTACCCCTGGGGGTATATTTGAAAATTCAGAACGAATATTCCATGGAATCTTCAAGATTCCGTTACACATAACCCCGTAAAGAAGTAATTGTAAGATGGAGAAATAACTAGGAGGTATTTGCAATTACTAATACCATAGGGATCTGTAAGGGTTATTTCTATGCTACACCGGGTGGATTTTTACCGTTGATCTACACACACCAACGTGAGTGTAGGTGTGGATGTGTGTGTTTATGTGCATATGAATGGCAAAGATCTACCCGCCGGGGTAGCACAGTATAAACCGGTTTGTAAGTTATTCAGGCTTACATCAGGGGTGCCCGTAATTTACTCTAAACTATATCACATCCTCTATGTATATATCATCATGTATGTTACTAAAATATATGTTTTTTTTTTTTTATATATGATGAGGTGGAAATGAATGTAGCATGGCAACAAGAGAAAATGTTGGAGTTTTGCAAGGAGAAAAAGATACATGTTTGTGGATGGTCTCCCCTTGGAGCCAATGGGGCCTTCTGGGGAACCCTAGCTGTAATGGATAGTCCTATTCTCAGACAAATTGCTGCTGCTAGAAACAAGACAGTAGCACAGGTAATCTATCATATATATACACACACACACACACAGACATACATTAATTCTGTGTATATATGAATGAATATTTGAAGGTTGCATTGAGATGGATATATGAGCAGGGAGCAAGTCCTATAGTGAAGAGTTTCAGTAAAGAGAGGATGAAACAAAACCTTGAGATTTTCGACTGGGAACTCACCGATGAAGAAAAGTGCAAGATTCGAACGATTCCTCAGGCAAAAGGGTTAACTGGAGAAATGTTTGTTTTTCCAGAGGGGCAGTACAAATCACTCGAACAACTCTGGGATGGAGAAATTTAAAATTATTAAATCATTGATAAGAAATAAAAAGAGCTCAAGACTCCAATAATAATAATTATTATTATCATTATTATTACTATAATAATTGTATTTTCACATGTAAATTATTATTTTTTCAAATAAAACTTCCTGTACATTAAACACTTTCATCACATTACAAAAAGTTATGTACAATCAGAGGTCATCTTCTATGGTGATAAACTGAGTTTTCAAGACTCGAGAAAGAAAAAGAAAAAAAAACTCTTACAAGAAATATCTCTAACGCTAGTGTATCTCACATCCCAATATAACAAGATCAGAATTCAGAACACTGGGCTTTTTGTATAATATCCGATGCTGCTTTCTACGGGCGATAGATTCGAATCTGAGGCAAATGAATCATGGTGTTATAGAATAGAACATATTATTATATATAAAAAAAATAGGAAAAGAAGAACTATATCGATCATTCGGATTTATAAATTCAACTTCAAAGCTGAGAAGTGATAAATTTTCCCAGATGGATATATTATTATTATTGCATCTCCGATAAAAAAATATATATAAATCACAGTATATTGCTATATTACCTGCGCAAACAAATATACGGCTCTCAAGATCCTAGCATAATCTGTTCCGAGCATTTGAATGACAACATCTGCCAACAAGGTACCCCACATCCTGTAATATCAGAAATTGGTGTGTTCACATTCGTTTATCTGAGATAATATGTAAAAGAAAGCAGAAAGTTGACACCTATACAACACACGAGTAAGTATACAGTGACTTACAAATATTACAGAAGTATAAGAAAGGATGCTGAACTAGCGAGTCGGTACAAAACGACTTACACTGGGCCAAGTAATTGAGCCACACTCCTAAGCCCAAGATACCGAGTGGCCGCAGCTTTTAAACCCTGTAAAGTGTGAAACCACCATTATAACTACATCTCAACACATTCAGAAACTGGACGAACAAATAAAAAAGTAACTAATTTTAAAAAAAAATTATGATAAACTACAGTTTTTATTTAACACAAAGGGCGGTTTTCAATTGGCCTACTCACCTGTCTCGCGGCGAACAAGGCAGCTCCAGTTTCCAGGTTGATAGCTGCCAGTTGTCCACCCTGGAAGCCAAAATAACAGATGATTTCACAAGGCACGCCAAATCAAGAAAGTCTGTTCAGTTACTGAAACTCTAAAATATAAACAACTCTCATTCGGAACCTTTTTGATAATTTCTTTCTTCATCTGATATTTGGCAGCTTCTGATAACATCTTCCCAGATAATCGACCTCCCAACTGCAACAAATTGGAGATCAGTTCAGGGTTACAAATGAAAATACTATATAAAAAGAATAATAATAAATAATAAAAAATCAGGGTTATTCTCTTACCAGTTCCAACAATTTCTCCAATGTAAGCATCACACCACCCTTAAGTACAAGGATTAAGTTGATCAATAATTCAAGCGAACCAAAAACAGAATGGAAGAAAGAAAAGAGTTCTTAAATATAAATTATAAAACCTTTAATATCATTGGGCGGAGCTCTGTTGCTCCAATCCCTAGAGCTGCAAGTTTTTGCAACTTCAACTCGCTGAGTCCAAGTGCTAGGCTATTAAATCCATCGGCGTTCTTTGAGCTATCCTTAGAGCTTGAAAAACTTCTCAGTTCTTCACTATGGAAATTAAAAAATATGTAAACATCGAGATATTCATTCAATGGAGACGACACATCTCTTATTCAAGAATGCTATACCCAAATATGTAATTTTTTGTGGCTAAATTACTAAATAGGCATGAAATGGGGAGAGATAATGTCATGGATTATTGGAAGCTACTTTTCTATCTAATTTTGGAAATATAAGGTTTAGGTTCGACACTGTTTAGGAGGAAAATAACATTACATGCATATGATGGTCATACATCAATATCTTTGGAAGTTCTTTACCTTGACGCTTCTTGCAGGAGGTGAACAAAAATCTCAACTTCTAGTTCTTCAGCAGACAATTTCGATGAACAAGGTATTTTTAATTTTTTCCTTAGTCCAAGCAGTACATTTCTATATGATGGTCTCCAACCCCTGAAAAGGAATAAACAAGACAACTTGATTTTGAATCATAGACGCCAAAAAAAATCATTTTAGATAAGAACGATCTGAAAACAAACTTTGCCTTCGTGGAAATGAAGGATTGCATTGGCACCAACAAAGACAAAACTATTTAATTAAGTGATGCTCGTAAAAAGTTCTATGAGGGCCTAACTCAATTAGGATAAATGGTCTTTAATATAATTGCATTACAAGAAACAAGTAATTATTATTTGGAAAAAATTAGATATGCATATACACATTCACGACATAAGAAAAATATCCTAGCTTCCTTTTCTCTACCAGAACGAATGTTTCGAGTATTCGATTACTATGTTAGGGAATCTTAATTCTTAACCAGTACACATAGTTTCAAAATTATCCATATTCCGTCACATCAATTCATATATAAGATTCTAAGTACGCAGATACAAATATATCCGTCTCTCTAGTCATGGTTATTGACAGCAAAAAAAAAAAGAATCATAGAGAACTGATAGAATGACCTCAATGTCGACCGTGCATCAGCTGCTAGAAAGAAAAATCGAGATTCAAGATTTGAAATAAAATCTTCTCTCTCATCTGGGTCTTCCCCGATCATAATGTAATCAACATCCTCCCTTTTTGCAATCGATTTCAACAACGGACTAAAGTAACTGAAACAATAAACATTTAAGGGAAGTAACTAAGCAGAAGAAAACGAAATATCACAATAAAAGTTCTCAAAAACTCAGTTCACAATCCATGTAACTATATGAGGTAAAGAATGTATAGGGCATAAACAAACACCTTGGGCCAAATAAAATGCTTTCAAGTTCATATAATTCAGAATCAGTGGCAATTTGAAGCACTGATCGAAGCTCTGGATCATACGCATTGCTTCCACTGCTATCTGGCAGCAAAACGAATATAAATAATCAAATAAATCTCTTTTCATATCGTCATTTGAAATTTGTAATCTAAAAGCTTATTTCATAAAAAAAAATAAAAAAACTAATTGCATATAGAAACTAATTGCAGCGTTGCGATGATTAATTACCGTAGGAGTATTTTGAAATTGAAGCGAGAGCCGGCCTCAGCAAAACCCTCGAAGCTAGGCCATGGCTGAAGTTACTCTTAATTGAGTTTAGAAAGAACTGCAAAATTGGAAAATTCTCCAAATTAATACAATGTTGTGCTACGATTGTGAGTGTGTGTGTGTGTGTGTGTGTGTGGATTGAAATGTTGTGAAGTACTACTGCTCACTGGGGTAGTGTGCGAGAAGGGGGAAGGTGAGTGGTGATGGCGGAAGAATCGAATTTGATGGGTAGGGGTGAGTGAAGAGAGCGGTGGCGCAGAGGCGGTTGACGGCGGAGACATAGGTGGTCGTCGGGCGGCGCTTTTCAGCAAAACCAGAGACACTGAGCCGGTGAATTTGTCGAAGCTGTCAATGGCGGTCAGTGTGTGGCAGCAGACGGCAGAGGCGTAAAAGAATCCATTGTATGTATTTCATTTTTTCCATACATTTATTACTAAAAAGAGAAAAATAAAATAAAAAATACTACAAATATATTTTTTTAATTCTTTATAATTTATTCAATTATTAAAATTTTAAATTCTTTATATTTATTCAATTATTAAATTTTTGTTGAAGAAATATATAAAAAATTCAAGCTACTCTTACTCGATTCGGTTAATATTTTGTATATATACAAGTTACAACTACTAATTTGCACGAAACGTGTCCGAAAACGAGGATACGATTAAGAAGTTGAAATTTTCATGTTACATAGTAGCATCTATAACAACTGTAATATATAACAATACAAGAACACATCTTCTTCCAAACCCCTTAAGATCAATCAGACATTCTTAAAACTACAGTAACTAAAAATAATTGAATTATATATAATACATCATCTTTATTTATCAATTCCAAATATACAGACTATTAAGAAGCATAAAGCTCCGACGAATACAGGTCAATCAACGCTATTTTCTCGTACAGACTTAGGAAAGAATACAACGAATAACAAACGAATGTATAAATAGTAAGTAGAGAGTGCGGAGAGAGCAATATAATATGGCAACTGCAAAAAAATAAAAATATCACAAGCCGGCAGAAACCAATCCATGCAATGTAACAATACCAATTACGACGTTTGAATCATTAATGACGGGCAAGAACTGAACCGGTGAAGGTGGGGCCTCCATCTTCTGCATTGCTTCGACTGCCATTGCATCAGGATCGATTGTCCTAGGGTTCCTGTATATCATCACCACATTTAACTTCTTTTTTCAAAATTATAAATCTTGAATCTCGAGCCCAGAAACACGAACACTTAAAAGAGACGTTTCTCTTGCCATGTCATGTTCATAAGCTTAAAAAAAACGCTCTAAGGATACATAATATCGGATAAACAGCGTCTTAAGTACTAAAACAAATCATATAGAATCGACGTTTAATTTTCCACTTTTCTCTGCATGTCGTCCAATCAACTTCAGGAGAAATAACCATATATATATATATATATATATATATATATGTATATATATATATATATATATATATATACATACATACATAAGAACAAAGAGTTCATGAAATAGTTTTAGCAAGTGTTTAGCGTAATATTTCTTCAAGAAAGCAATTCTGCTAAACACAAAAATCGGTAAATCTTCTTGTAAATGTATAAAAAACAGAGGAACCACGAACCAATGCACAGTGTTCGTCTTTATTTAAACTTCCTAAGCGAGATAAACTCCACTTCCGAAATCTCGTGGAACCATATAATATACAACAATCGAGTATATTACCTGTTACACATCTCTCCGACAGTGAGCTTAAAGATTCCTTCACCACTGGCTTTCAACGTACGCCTAAGATCACCGTCGGTGAATGTACCCAGCAGATGATAGTCATCGTCTACAACAAGAAGGCACCCACAACCTTTACTGCTCAGCTCTACAAGTTGATCCATTATTAAATCGTGTTCCCTGCAAACGGGAAGCTCTTGTTTCTTCTTCATAAGATCCTTCACCTAAAACCACAAAAGGATCGTTTTAATTGAATCGTGGAAAACCAGTCCGTATCCAGTTAATAAAGGTTCGACCAGTCGAAATAGCTAGAATTAAGAAATAATTCATTGAATGGCAATATAATTGAAACCAGTTCCTTCTACTTTTCATATTATCGGTATTATCGATCAGTATCTACTCTGCACTATATTCTCCACCGCATCGAATTTTCTTCCTTATTAGACTAAGGAGATAAAATCGAAGCCAGTGAAGCAAATTGTGGATTCTACACTCATGTACTTCAAGAATTAAATAAAAAATAAATAAAGAATCAAGTAGTTTGATCTCATTTGTATCGTGATTCGAGATCTAGAACCATCCAGCAGCAGTTTTTCTTCATCGACGTTTCCCTCCAACACCACAATTTTTAATCACAAACAAGAAACAGGAAAAATGAAACACACACACACACACACACACACACACACACACACACACACACACACACACACACACACACACACACACACACATATAAATACACAGAAATTTCACCTTGAAAATCAGACTTTTTCCGATCCTGCCAGCGGGGTGGTTCGCGGCGTACTGTTCCTTACTGAGATTCCTAGCCCCCATAAGTGCGATGGCAACAGTATCCCCAAACACCATCTGGATCGCCGTTGAAGTCACCGGCGCCAGATCGAACGGGCAGAGCTCGCGCTCCAGCGGCAAATGCACGTTCAGATCGCACACGCGCATCAGGCCGTTGGGCTTCACGGACGTCACGGAAATCAAGTAAACCCCCTTCGTCTTCGCGCACGGCACGAGCTTCAGCAGCTCCTCGGAATTCCCGCTCTTACTGAACAGAACCAGCAAATCTCTCGACGACAGAATGCCGATGTCGCCGTGGAGCGCGTCGACCGGCGATAGAAAACCGGATCTAATACCGAGCGAGACTAGGGTTTGCGAAATCTTCTGCGCCACGAACCCCGATTTCCCCACGCCGGAGAAGAAAATTGTCCCCTTGGCGTTCAGGAGCGTCTCCGTGAAGGCTAGGGTTTGGGAAATGTCGAGATTCTGGAAGAAATGGTTGAGGTAATTCTGTTGGCATTTGAATAGGTTGAGCAAATTGGCCTTGTCCAATTTCGATTTCGATAAATTCGTTTCTTCATCGTCTTCTTCGGCGATCGGGAATTGCAGAGAAAGGGAACCCATTCTCTGGTGATTTCTCCGGTGGTTGTTCAACGAAAAAAAAAAGGTGTTAATGGTTATCAATTGTTGGTTGGAAGTAAGTGTGAGCGCGGGGATCGAATTATATATACTATTTTTACACACTGTAATGTGTGTGAATCTGTGATTAGAGTGATCAATGGCAGTGGAAGCTAATTCAATTTGTCGGTGAAAATTCAGTTAATTATACAGAAAAGTTCAATTTACTCCCCTGAACTATACCTAATATATAAAAGAACCCCTAAATTTTAAAAGGAACCAAAACAGTCCCTTTCAATTATCGGTCAACGTTAAAAATCGTTAAACAACTAACAAACGTTAATTCAGTGGACTGTTTCAATGTTTTGGTTCATTTTAAAGTTGACGTATTATATATGTTTTTTTCTCTCCTTAAATTCAATTACAAATTAGTTAATAGTATATGCTTCTTCTTTTTTTTTTTTTTTATTATTATTAAAATTAGATTTTTTTTATAGGAGAAAAAAAGTTTAGATTTTGGAATGAGTTTTTTCTTTCTAATTTCCGAATTTTTCGAATTTCTTTCATAAAAAAATGATTTTTTTCCCCTTCTCTAAGCAACTGTTTGTGAAAATGCCTAGTAATTTTTTAATCATGTTTTTTCCATTTTCTTATATGCTATAAGTAAACAATGTTATTTTTTTGGGTCCATTAGATATAACCTCTTAGTCTACAAAAAATAGGGGTAAATCCAAACTCAAATTTGTTATTTTGATAAAAATCCATATTTTTCTAAATTCCATCAGTACCATCAATCAAATCCCAAAAATCACGTTACTTTACCTTTTGAAATTATATCAAATCTCTCTCTATTCTCCCGCCGGGTTCGCCGCTTCCACCTCCAACCGCCGCCACCTCCGTCACCGTTGTCGTCGGTGGCCAACGACGATAACAACGATATTGGCCATAAACAACACCTCCACCACCACCTAGTCCTCCACCACCACCACATCCGACCACCTCCACCTTCGGACCGCCAAAAACGACCAAGACCTCCGCCGCTCCCGCCTCCAAGGTCGTAACAATCAATTTAGGAGTGATATCGTCGTTGGCCGCCGTCGTCGCCGCCGTCACTGCTCCAATCCAGGGTTACTCAAATCTAGGATTACTCAAATCTAGGGTTTTGATAATTCATCGGCCCATAGTTGATTAACGAGATGCATAGTCGAATTACATCTGTATTAATAGACTATCCCATATCATTTAATAGACTATCCTACTGATATTATTTGACTATGGATCTCGTTAATCGACTATGGGCCGAAGAATCATCAAAACCCTAGATTTGAGAAGTGACGGCGGTAGATTTGTGTTTTAAAATTAATAGACTATCTCATATCATTTAATAGACTATCCCATATATCTAATTCGACTATGGATTTAGTTATTTGACTATTGGGCCGAATAATCAACAAAATCCTAGATCTGAGAAGTGATGGCGGCGGATTTGTGTTTTAATATTGTTAGACTATCCCATATCATGTAATAGACTTGATCTAATTCGACATGGATCTCGTTAATCGACTATGGATCCCGTATTATTCACCACATAGTATATTAATAATTTCAATATAATACATTAATCTGCTATGATAGTATATTACGGTTATAGTAGTGATATGAAATTGTGTTACAAACAATATACCACTGAAATGACAAGAACATTGAGAACAAAACCAACGTAAAGTAATTCCAACATAACCAATAAAATACTTAAAACACATCATAACACAATCAAACCAATATGTCGAGTTAAAAAACTCTAGTACATTAATAATCTCATAATAGTATAAAAAAATGATAATGGTAGTATCATACGGTATTCATAATATAGTATACTACTGTATTACAACGGTTTAACACTTAACTGAAGTTACCGATCCATTACATCGTAAACACGATATTAATTAAACATATCAAATCTTAGGGTGGTTTGGAAAATAACAACCATCGGAATCATTTGAATTCATTGAGTTTATGTCCTCGTCGCTATCATCAGGAATGCAGTCGACTTCTTCTTCGAACAACTGCACAAAGCCTGCATTCAATGTCTCACTTCCAGTGGCATCAACAGCTCCAACTAGTTCACCCCCCACCCCCTGTTCCATCATCATGATCAGAAATAACAACTTCAGCATCATATGAACTTAAAAAATGCAACATACAAATAATTGATTAAATAGACTACCAAATAGATTCCAATGTACTACCGAATACATTAAAATCGACTGCTGTAAACAAACAAAACAACTATCAGTCAATTTCAACTTCATCAACTCGACCACACCAAATATTTATTTCGATTACTGCGTAAACCAACTACGACACTCATATAAAACAACTCTGGTCCGACTGCGTGAACCATCATCTGGCAACTATGTGAATCCTCTTCCAAACAAACATCATCAGACAAAATAAGGATGTATATGTGACGACGTAATTTTTTGAAAAAACGATCTACTTTACTACCAATAGAATCAACGTATAAACACAAACCTTATAATGTCTAACCACCATAACACAACAACCCCTGCACAAGACAGCGGAAAAAAAACGAAAAAAAAGTTGTTCATACTCGCTTAACGACGGACAACGATGAAACGCTCAGATTCGAAACTACTTCCACGCCGGTGAAAAATTCTTCAAAGCCGATGGAAAACGATGAAACGATGGAGAAATTCTTCAAAGCCGATTGTACACGATTTGATAATAACGAAACCGCCAATATACTCACGTAATTTTATTCCGTGATTTAGGCACGTATCAGCAATCTCATATCACGTAGTTAAGGAAATAATGTCGTTCAAA